CGAGGAGAGCAGCCGGGACGCCAGCCGCAAGTGGCTGGAGCAGGTGGCGGCCACCGGCGTCCTCCTGCACTGCCAGTCCCTGCTCTCGCCGGCTGTGGTGAGTGGGGGGCGGGGAGGAGGCGCCCGCCCGGAGCGCGGGCCAGAGGGGGTCTGGCTCCAGCTCCCACTCCCCTCGCTCATTCATTCCGCAGCCAGTTACCAAGCACCTACTGTGTGCCGCTGTTACAGGCACTGGGGACCCGGCGGTGGACAGAGCAGAGAGCTCTTGTACTTGGGGACCTGGCATCCTGGTTCTGGGAGACAGACATAAACAAATCAGGAAAAGGAATGGTGTAGACCAGTGGTTCTCCTCAGGGCAGTTTTGCCCCCAGGGGGCACTCAGCAATGTCTGGAGACGTTTTAGGTTGTCCCACTTGAGGGAGAGGAGGTACTGCTGGCATCTAGTGTGCAGAGGCCAGGGATGCTGCTGAACGTCCTGCAACACCCAGGATACTCCCCACACCCAGCAGAGAATTTTCTGGCCCCAGGTGTCCGTAGTGCTGCAGCTGAGAAACCCTCATATGCAGTGGTAAGGGCTAAGGAGAAGAACTAAGCAGGGAAGTGCGCAGGAAGGTCTGGGGTGGTGACAGTTGAATATTTCAATAAGGTGGCCAATGAAGGCCTCACTGAGAAGGTGACATCTGATCTAAGAACTGAGGGAAGGGAGGGAGTGAGCCATGAGGACACTGGGGAGGAGGCTTCCAGGCAGAGAGGATAGCAGGTGCAAAGGCCCTGAGGCAGGAGCTAGCTCTCATTGCTTGAGATTCAGCGAGGTGCCCAATGTGACTGGTACAGAGTGAGCCAGGGGAGGGTGGAGGCAGTGAGCCCTGAGAATTAATTAGGGTCTGACTGTGTGGGGTCTTGCAGGCTGGTGTGGGACTTTGGCTGTTACTCCAAGTGGGTGGGAGTCAGGGGAGGGTTTTGAGCAGAAGAGGGACAGCATCTGACTTTGACATGTAGAAGGTCATCTGTAATGTCGGGTGGGGAAGACTGTAGAGGGGCAAGGGTGGACGCTGGGAGACCAGTGAGCAGGCTTCTGTTATAATCCAGGTGAGCTTCTTTGGTGCATATGGCATCTTCTTTCGTCCTTGTGGTAGCCTGAGGCAGGTCCTTTACCACCTACTTGTTACGGATGAGAACACTGAGGCCATTCAGCTGGTGTGAACCCTGGGAGTCTGACTGTAGGCCGGGTGACCCCAAGGCTGTCCTGCTTTCTCTGTATTCCTCCTTTATCCCTGAGTGCCTTGTCCACCCATCCCAGGGCTCAGAATCCAGGTGGGTTCTTCTGCCGGCTCCCAGGGAGCAGAGACCACAACTCAGCATTTTGGGTTGAGGGTGCCCAGAGCTGATGCCCCCGCCAGAAATACAGCCAGCAGCAGCGCTTGTTCTGTGCTGTTTGCGCGTCCGCCCGTGTGCCCAAGGCTGGAGCTCCCCTCCCCTTGGCAGCGCTGATCCTCCTAGACATTTTTCCAGGTGGGACTGGCAGCCACAGCTGCTGGTGGGTTGGGAAAGTGTGGCCTCGGTGTGCCCTCTGCTGTCTGATGTTGCAGACAGGTGCCTGCCTGGTGGGAAGGTGACCCCCTCTCACTTGGTTCCAGGAACCCAACACCTGACCCTCACTTCTCGGATGAGGACACTGGGGTCCAGTGCACTAATCCCCTAGTTGCCAGGATATGCAGGCTCCGAGCTTGGTGCTGGGGGTCTGAAGCTGACTTCCTAGTTGAGGGAAGTAGATTGGGAACAAGAAAGGACTGAAAATGGGGAGAGCTGTACAGAAGGGGGTTATGCAGAAGATTTAGATGGTGATTGAGTTTCTTTGGATTTAAGTCATCAGAGATGGCCCCTCTAAGGAAGTGACATAGAGGTGATGTTTGAGCTGAGACCTGAGTACGAAGTAGCTTGGTAAATGGTCTGAGGCAGAGTGTGCTGGGCAGAGGGAACAGCATGTGCAAAGGTCCTGAACAGAGACCAGTGTGGCTGGATGGGAGCAGGCCAGGGGAACGTGGGGAATGAGATTGGTGGGGCACATCTGCAGGGCCTGTAACTTTATTCTGGGAGCAGAGGGAGGGTTCAGAGGCTTTGAAGCGGATGAGTAATACAGTTCAAGTTGTTTTTAAAAGATAACTTAGAGTCACAGGGGAACCCTGGCAGCCTGCCCTGGGCTGCTGTCCTTTCTCTCTGCATCTCTGGTTTTGTTTCTGACTGCCCTTGGTTTGGGGGAAGTGGGGAGAGGGAGACCTGGGAGGAGGCTGGTGTGATCCTCCTGGGGAGGTGATGGTGTCTTGCACTGGGGGTGGGGAGCAGGGTGGCATGAGGTGACAGGCTATGTACTGGGGGAGGGGAGGGAGCAGTTGAAGCCTTACGGGTTTGGGGCCTGGGCAGCCGGTGCCCTTTGCTGAGATGCAGCTGCTGGAGGAGGTTGAGGAGGAAGGTGAGGTCGTTTATTTGGGCCTGTTAGGTTTGAATGGTTAAGTGGGATTGGTGGGATGGTCCGGGTAAGAGGACCACCTAGCACATGAGAGCAGAGATGGGCTCTGACCTGGGGAGGGACAGGGCAAGGCTGGAGCAAACACAGCCTCACGAGCAGCCCCGGAGAGCCCACTGCAGACCTCACACCTAGTGGGGCCACAGCCCTGGTGTGTCAACTAGAGTTGAATCACAGCATCTTGAAGTGAAACCCTGGGACAGGGCTGGCACCTGAGACTCCTCCGCCCTGTCTTCCTCCTGCAGAAGGAGGAACGGACCATGCTGGAGGACATCTGGGTGACCCTGTCAGAGCTGGACAGTGTCACCTTCTCCTTTAAGCAGCTGGACGAGAACTACGTGGCCAGTGAGTGCTTCCTCCCACCCCCACCGTGAGAGTTGGAGTTCTGGGGTGGAAGGGACTGCCCTGGCGTCACCCCGTCCTTCCCCCACCACCAGGCCAGCTGCCTAAGGTTGACCTGGGACCCAGCACTTTCAAACCTCATGCTCCCAACGTACATGGAAAAAGAGGGGCTCCTTTTATATAAACCCATCTCCAAAGGTGCTTAAAAGGGAACAACAGCCAGTACCTGGTTCCTGTGAAAACTCCAAGAGGTGTCTCTCTTTGGGATGGAGACTTGTTAAAATTTTCTAAGAACTTACACCATAATTAAGTTTCTTCTTTCCTTTCTTTCTCCCTCCCACCCATTCATCCACTCATCCATTTATTCATCTATCCACCATCCATCCATCTACCCATTCACCCATCCATCTACCATCCATCTACCCACCCATTCACCCCTCCATCTACCACCCATCATTCATCCATCCACCATCCATCCATCTACCCATCCTCCCGCCCACTCATCCATCTATTCAACATATCCATAATTATGAGCCCATGATATGTGTCAGGCACAGTTTTAGGTCCTGGGGCTGCAGTGGAGAGAAATACAGCCATGGTTTCTGCCCTCCTGGAGCTCACAGTCTAGCCTAGCGGGTCTCAGCCCTGGCTGTGCTGGAATCACTGAGGGAGCTTTTTAGATACTGATGCCCCAGTCCCAGTCCCAGCCCTGGTGATTCGGATTCAGTCTGTAGGGTGGATCCTGGGCATGGGATTCTAGAAAAGCTTTCCAGATGACTTTGACGTGCATCCAGGCCTGAGAACTGCTGGACTCAGTTCTAGAGCCCTGGTTCTCTGAGAGTGCTCCCTGCCCCAGCAGCACTTGGAAGCTTGTTGGAAAGCCTGCTTCTCAGGCCCCACGCCAAACCTGCTGAATCTGAAACTGGAAGGAGAGCTCAGAAATCTGTGTATTAGCCCACCCTTCAGATGATTTTGAAGCATGCTAGTTTGAGAACCATTGCTCTTTTATTATTATTATTATTATTATTATTATTATTATTATTACCTTTATAAGGAGCTGTTTAGGTAATTTTTCCTAATTATCACTGCATGAAATTTTAATATCATGGATATACTATATATCTATTTGTGTACTGTATACATAGGTCTGTGCTTTATATATAAAAAGAGAAAATTTTTTTGCCTTCCCCACAAGAGCCAATTTTCACCTCCTTGGGGATGAATGCATCCTGTTGAGAATGTGTAGATTAGAGTCTAGAAGGGCAACAGGTTTTGTTTCAGGTACCAATTGGAATTGGCGGGCAGTGGCTGCCTGCCTGTAGGCCAAGTTGAGTTCAGGGAGAACTACTGGTCGATTAGTGATGCCTGCCATGGATGCAGGATGGGGTGTTAGTGCCACCCCTGCCATAAACTCTCCCCTAGGGGTGTAAATAAGATGCAGGTCCTGCTTGAGGGCAGCTTTTGCCAGGGAGAGACCCTGGGCTACCAGGTGAGAGGTACAAGGAGCACTGGTGAGGGTCTGAAGATAAACTGACAACTCTCCATCTGGGCAGAATCAATGTCACGTCTAAGGGTTCAACAAACTGCTGAGGGAGGTGGAAAGGGAGGTCAGAGGCTGCTCTTGTGAGTGTGGGATGACAGGGCTGCCTGAGGTGCCTCTGGCGGGTGGGTGGACAGGGAGGTCCCAGGACTTCACAGTGGAGGTTTGTAGGAAGGTTTAAAGCTGTCCCCACAAAGGTGGGGCACGGCCCCTCTCCAGCCCCAGTGGTGAGACCCCCGCCCGACCCTGTCCCCCCGCAGACACCAACGTCTTCTACCACGTCGAGGGCAGCCGGCAGGCACTGAAGGTCGTCTTCTACCTCGACAGCTACCACTTCTCCAAGCTGCCCTCCCGCCTGGAGAGTGGGGCCAGCCTGAGGCTGCACACTGTGCTCTTCACGAAAGGTGAGCGCCGTGGGGTGCTGCGTGGGGTGCTGCGTGGGGTGCCCTGGGGACGGCCGTGCATACCAGAAGCCAACCACCTGTCCCACTCTTTTTCCTTCACAGCTCTGGAGAACATGGAGGGGCCACCTCCTCCAGGCAGCCAGGCTGCGGAAGATTTGCAGCAGGAGATCAATGCTCAGTCGCTGGAGAAGGTTCAGCAATATTACCGCAAACTCAGGTATGTATGTGGGCTACATGCTAGGGGTTCTGGACACTGCCCTGGGGGGTACGCGTTAGCATGCAAGGGGTTGCAAAATGCCCTTCCTTGAGCACCTACTGTGTGCCAAGCCCTCTGCCTGCACAAGCTCATCAGGTTCTCACGACAGTCACCGGTGGCCATTCTAACCCACTTTTCAGATGAGGAAACGGAGGCCCAGAGAGCACACCCAGCTTGCCCAAGTCACACAGCTAGTGGCTGAGCAGAGCTTTGAACTGGGTCTGCTTGGCTGCCAACTGAGAGGCGCTGCCTGTGCCGTTCTGCACGGGGGTGGGAGCGGGACAGGGGTCCTGGGATTCTTGAGCCTGAGAGTGAGCGGTGTGGCCCTGCTAGAGGAGACCCCCAGAGAGAAGAGGAGAGTCAGGGCCGCATCTGACAGGAGGAAGCCTCGGGCCCAGGGCGGCAGCTTGCACTGCTGCCGCCCCTACCCTGGCCCCTTCCTACTTCTGCATCACCTCCTCCCTCTGTGGAAAAGGTAGGCTGAGTATGAGGAGGCAGGGAATTCAGGGTGTGGTAAGGGCTTCACTGCCTTGGGGCTCGGCTTCACCGTTCAGAAGTGGGAGAATGATGCTTTCTTTTGTCTGTTCAGGGAAAACATGCAGCTGTATTATTACAGGCCTCTCTTTGGATCGATGATGCCATCAATCTGTTCTGTGCTGTGTTTTGAATATTTTAAATACTACCTCTGATCATTCATTCATCAGGCCTTCCTTCTTTCAGCACCTGTCAGTTGAGACCGTCTGTGGTCCAGGCTCTGTCCTGGGTACTTGCTTCAGAGTCAGCAATAACCAAACAAAGCTTATTCTTCATGGCGTGTAGATTCTAGAGCAGCGGTGGTCTGGCCTGCCCACTAATTTGTCCGTAAAGTTTTATTAGCACACAGCCACGTTCATCCATGTACGTACTGTCTGTGGCTGCTTTTGTAGCATCTCTACAGAGACAGGTCCGCATAGCCTAAAACATTTACTATTCGGCCCTTTACAGAGGAAGTTGCTGAGTGCTGTTCTAGAAGGGGAGATGAACAATAAATCAGTAAACAGACCAGAATAGCATGTCAAGTGATGAGGGCGCTCAGAGGAGAGACAGCGGGACGGGGAGGAGAGCGGGGGTGTTGGGCGCTGATTCCGACGGGCATCCCAGAAGGGGCACTTGAGGATGCCTGGGGGGCCCCTTCTTTCTTTCCCCGGGATCGCTGGAGGGACAGGGGACTGTGGGCGTGGAGGCTGCACCAGCCGCTCTCAGTGATTTCTTTCTGCACGTCGTCAGAGAGCAGAGAGACTGCAGCTAGGGAGGTGGTGGGTGTAGCCGCCCCACCCTCAGCCTCATCTTCCTCTTTCAGGGCGTTTTACCTGGAACGGTCTAACCTGCCCACGGATGCCAGCACCACAGCCGTGAAGATAGACCAGGTGTGTCCTCCCTTCCCTTCCCTGCTGTGGAGCTTGGGCAGGGCTGGGGGTTCGTGGGGTCAGACAGGGCCCAGGGTTGCATCCCACCTGGAATCCTGGCAGAGAAGCCCTGGGGATTTCTGCAGTCCCTCCTCCAGGAAGTCTCCTGGGATAACTTCCTCCTTATTCTAGAATTTCCAGCTCCTTCCCCACCTGCTTTGGAATTTCTTAGGTGATGTATTCTTGCTGGCACCCACTTACCTGTGCCTTCCACATCTCGCTTGTTCATCAGAGCACTTCTCTGTGGCTGGAGCCCCACATCAGATGCAGCCATGCAGTATTGTCTTTGTTTTGTTTTCAATTTGTTGCCAACAATTTTTTTTAATTGAAGTATAGTTGATTTACAATGTTGTGTTAGTTTCTGGTGTACAGCAAAGTGATTCATTTATATATATATACACACATACATACATACACGTACATAAACACATATATATTTTTTCAGACTCTTTTCCATTATGGTTTATTATAGGATATTGAATATAGCTCCCTGTACTTTACAGAAGAACCTTGTTGTTTATCCATTTTATATATAGTAGTTTGTATCTGCTAATCCCAAACTCCCAATTTATCCCTCTCCTACCCCCTTTCCCCTTTGGTAACCTATGTCTGTGAGTCTATTTCTGTTTTGTAAATAAGTTCATTTGTCTCGTGTTTTTACATTTTCCATATAGGTGATATGATACTTGTTTTTCTCTGTCTGACTTACTTCACGTAGTATGCTAATCTCTAGGTCCATCCATGTTGCTGCAAATGGCATTTTTACGGCTGAGTAGTATTCCATTGTGTATGTGTGTGTACACATATATGTGTGTATATTTCATGTGTTGGCTATTGTAAACAGTGCCGATATGAACACTGGGGTGCATGTGTCTTTTTGAATTAGACTTTTCTCTGGACATATGCCCCAAAGTGGAGTTACTGGATCATGTGTGTTGCCAGCACTTGAAAGTCAGAAGATTTCCCATAACACAGAGGCGTCTTGCTTTTCTTGAGCAATGGGAAGATCTGGCTGTCTGGGCCACATTCCTGCGTGTCGCAGTCAGCCTTCCAGGGGCTGTGCCTCCCGTGTGCTCTTTCCCCTCCTCCCAGGCTCCATCAGGCCTTGAATTTGACAGTGGTTTTGGGTTCTTGGCCTTGGGGCTGTGAGGTTAGGGGCTCCGAGGGGAGGGTTGGGCACGGCCCGTTGGGAGTTTGATAGTCTGGCTGGCGGAGCACTAAGATGAAGCAAGAAGACTTGGTGAAGCTGCGTTTTGTGCCTGCACAGGCACTGCCGGAAGGGTGGGGGCAAGAGGGAAGACTGTTCGTGGGGAGGTGCTGCTGTTTGCAGAGGACAGGAGGGGGCAGGACATTCGCTCAGGCTTTGCTGTAGGCACATCTGGACCGGTGAAAAGAATCAAATGAGAAGGTTAGGCCTAAAATATATCATGAATGCCGAATGCCAGCCCGTGGGGCAGCCGCAGGGGCCATGGAGAGTTCCTGGGGCTGTCACCCCAGTGAGGTGAGCCGGGAGGACGGCTGCAGTAAGGGAGCTGAACTGGAGGGCGATGGTGGGGAGGAAGGCCAGGGAGGGGGCCTCCTCTGACCGTCCATGTGTTTGTCTTGCAGCTCATCCGCCCTATCAATGCCCTGGACGAGCTTTGCCGTCTCATGAAGTCCTTCGTGCACCCCAAGCCCGGCACCAGTGGGAGCTTGGGCGCTGGCCTCATCCCTATCTCCTCTGAGCTCTGCTACCGCCTGGGGGCCTGCCAGATCACCATGTGTGGCACGGGCATGCAGAGGTGAGCTGCCTGGGGCCGGGAGGGGGCTGGGTGGGCCTCTGGGCAGTTTAGGGGCCCAGGACAGGAGGCAGGAGGCCAGGTTTGAATCCTGGTTCTGCCACTGCCTATTGAGCCCAGGTCAGGCCTTGGCCTGCTCTGGGCCTCAGTTTGTCTGTCTGTGAAATGGGACCTTGGGAGGAGGTGGTCCTACGAGGGCTGCGGAACTTTCTGGTTCTCTCACCCTGTGGGTGGTGTGAATGAGTCTGTGCGACCTGGCTCTGCTGGAACCTCCATTCACAGGAGCAGAAATGATCCCTCCCCCTGATTGGGGCAGAACCGGACACTCCCACTTCTGTCCTTTGTCCCTGCTGCTCGTCCCAGGGGTTGGATGTCGCCTTCTCTTTGAGGCCTTCCCTGACCGCCCTACTTAAAATTGCACCCTCTCCCCACCGCCAGCACCTCCCCTGCTGCGTTGTCCCTGGCAGCCCTCACTGCCATCCACTGTACGACGTACTTCACTTGTGTATGAGGTTTTCTCTGCCACGCCCGGTATAGGCCAGCTCTGTGAGGGTGGGGGCCTGTTTTGTTCCCTGCCTTCCTGCCCTTCAGCACTTAGGACAGTGCCTGGCACACAGCATGAATGTTTGCTGAGTGCTCACTGTTTACTGGGCACTGTTGTTAATATTCCACACAAATTAACTCATTTCCTGCTCATGGCAAGCCAGTGAGGTAGGGACCAGTCCAAAGGTTTGCAGCTGAGGGCCATTCTTCCCCCCCAGAAATACCTGGCAATGCCTGGAGGCTATTTTGGTTGTCACTGCTAGGGGGAGGGAGGTACCACTAGTATCCCGGTGATCAGAGACCAGGGATGCTGCTAAATATCCTACAGTGTACAGGATCCCCCCTCCCCCAATTTGGCCCAAAATGTCAGTAGCGCGCTATTGTTATTCCTGTTGTACAGTGAAGGAAACTGAGGCCCAGAGAGGTTAAGTCACCTGTTGAGGGTCACAGAGTAATTATGCAGACTGGATCTGAATCCAAGAGGTCTGGCTCAGAGCGAGTGTTTAATTGTTCAGAGCAGATGTGAAGGATGAACAGATGTGTCCATCTCAAGCTCTGCTGACAATTAAGGGAGTCCCTCTATTCATTCCTCCAGTAAATACTGACCTAGTGCCATGTCTGAGCTGGGCTCAGGGAGTGTCCTGGAGGACAAGACAGGCAGGAGTGCCTGCTGTGTGACACCGATGTGTTAGAGGGTGCAAATGGTAGAGCAGTAAAACACCTGCTGTGTGTGGGGGTGACAGCCGCTGGGTGGGTGGGGAGGGACAGGGGGTTGGGGGCCTCTCGGAGGGAAGACATGGGGGGGAGCGAGTCAGCCATTATGGGGGCAGCAGGAGGAGCTCTTCTGGGGAGAGAACAAGATGTGAGGCCTGCCAGGCTGTGATGGCCTGGGCGGCACTGGGTTTCTGGGCATGTGGGGTCTCGGAGGCTGTGGGGGGCGGGAAGTCGTCCCTGACTCACTCAGGCCGTCTCTCGTCTCCCCGGCAGGAGCACCCTGAGCCTTTCCCTGGAGCAGGCGGCCATCCTGGCGCGGAGCCACGGGCTGCTGCCTAAGTGCGTCATGCAGGCCACGGACATCATGCGGAAGCAGGTGAGGGGGCCTGGGCACTGCGGGCTGAGGGCCAGGTAGACCCACCCCCCAGGTGGGACGAGGGGCCTCTGGGGACTGGGTGGTCATCAGCCCTAGACCTGGACTTTCTTCCCATCTGATTGCAGCTTCTGGGGCCTCTCATTACTCCCACCCCACCCCACCCGCACCCACATGCTTCCGTAAGTGCCCTGAACTCCGAGCAGAGGCAGGCCCCGGTCCTCACCCCTCTTTCTTCCCAGGGCCCCAGGGTGGAGATTCTGGCCAAAAACCTCCGAGTCAAGGATCAGATGCCCCAGGGTGCACCGCGGTGAGTGGCTACCCTTCCCGTCTCTCTCCTCCCTTCCCTGAAGGCCAGGACCTAGGCATCAGACTCCCAGCCTGACCCCAGGTGTACCCCTTGATGTTCAGATGGGGCTTCACCTCTCATTTATGGGGACCCCACTGTGAGAAACAACTCAGTCTGTCATCTCCCAGACCTCCCACTTTGGCTGGGAAAGTGAGACAGGGCCCCCAGAGTGAGCCATGGGGCAGCGGTTGTGAGCCCCCCACCCGCTCACCCACTGCTCTTCCTCTGCCACCCTGCTGCCCTCAGAGCTCTCCATCCATCTGCTGCTTCCTGTCCTCACAGCCTCTCTGCGCAGATGTCAGACCTTCTCACGGGGCTGTGTGCGGCCCCCTTTCCAGGACTGACTCATTTTAGTGCGTCTTCTCTCTCCATCCATACTGCCCTGTTTTGTTTTCAGCATCTGCCCACAATTTGTAAATAACTCTATTTTGAAACAGTTTGACTCACAAGAAGTTGTGAAAATAGTACAGAGAGCTTCCATGTGTCCTTCACTCAGTCGACCAAGGATAATGTCTAACGTAACCACAGGACATCGGCAGAACCAGGAAACGGTGTTGGAGCAATAGAGGAGCTGACTTGCAGATCTTAGATGTGTTTTTGCATGCACTCTCTTAGCCATTGTTACTTATAAATACTTTTATGTGTTGCTTGCCCTGCTCCAGGCAACATTCTGGTCTCTTTACCTATATTAACTCATTTGTTCCAAGCAGCAACCCTGTGGGCAAGGATCTATGATTACCCCCAATTGGCATGTGGGGACACTGAGGCCCAGAGAGGTTAAGTATCTTGCCCAAGGTCACACAGCTAGCAAACGGCAGAGCTGCGGTTCCGAACCCAGGCAGTCTGGGCCCAGGGGCCGCGCTCCTAATCACTGCGCCTCCTTGCTTCCCTGTTTTGTCCATGTCCCCGCTGCAGCCTCCTGTCTGGTCCCCCGCCGTCATTCTCCCCACAGCAGATCTGATGTCTCTCCTGCTTGAGACTCAGTGACAACTAATTACTCCGGGGTGGTGCTCAGAATCCTCCCAGGGCAGAAAGAAAACCGAGGCAGCTCCCCATGTGCTGCAGGGAGAGGCCCCCAGGATACATTAAGTGAGAGGCTCCTGGGGCAGGGTGCTGGGTCTCCTTTGCCACCACTTGCATGGAAAAATGCACACATACCCACACATGAATCTTAATTCACAAACACACAAGGACACGTATCTGTATTTGTACACTCTTGCCCGTCTGGGGGGAGCAGAGACTCCTGTGGAGAAGGGACCGGACTGCTCGGGGAAAGCACGGGCGACATCAGTCTCTCTCACTCTGCATCTTTTTACACCTGTTGAGTTTTGTTTTCTGGGTGTGGATGACGTGTTCACATAAATCACATGCGGAAACAGTAATAATAGGCCTCGGCCTGCCTGGCTCCTCCTCATCTTCTCCTCCACCCACCAGGCTCTACCGCCTCTGCCAGCCGCCCGTGGACGGAGACCTCTAAATGCCGAGATGCCCGGTGCTTGGCTGCACCCCCTGGAGCCGGGATTTGGGAGGACACCGGGGGCCATGCAGCCTTCTCCAGAGCTGGCCCGAGGCCTCCTCTCCCGCCTGCTTCGGGCTCTGTCTGGCCGCCTCCACTGCGTCCTGTGAGGACAGCCAGTATCCTCGCTCTTGGACGAGCTGGCTGACTGGCCTTGGGCTGGCACATTCTCCACACTTCTGCCAGAAGCCCGAGGGGTGCTGGGGACCCACAGAACTGATGGGTGCAGCCAGGGCCTGGGCTCCTGCCCGCAAGTCCCCAGGACACAGCGGAGAAGTCGTGGTCACTGCAGCTGGAGGCCTGCAGACCCAGCTGCCTCGGGACGGCTCAATCTGCACTTTTGAAACCATTGGTTTCCTTCTAAGTCCACATTCCAGGCGACCACATGTGTCTCCTCCTCCTCCTCACCTTAGCTTCCAGATTCACCCCTAACCCTGTACTAACCTGCTCGGTGGACTCGGAAAAGCCAGGCCTCTGCCAGGAAAGACGGAGGGACAGGGCACAACACCTGTTACCGAGAGGAAGCCACACCGCAGTCCAACACCTGCGCCATTGGAACTGGAGACATCAGCCCCGGGCTTGAGATTTGCTCTGACTTTATTTATATGGCGTGAAATCTCTACAGTTTATTTTGGAGTTTAAATGTCATTGTTATTGTCAAGATTTTTTCTTCCAGTTTGAATGATTATATATTTGACATTTAAAATTTCAAAGAAAGCTGTATTGTCTAACAGGGGACCAACATAAATGTAGTATCAACAGCTTTTCCCAGTTCTACTAAAAAAAAGAAAAAAGAAAAAAAAGAAAAACTAAATTATTGAAAATTCAAAAAATATAAGTCTTTCATCTTTTTTAATATTAGAGTCTTAAGATACAGCTTACAGGTGCCGGCTAGGATTCCTTTTCCCACCCGCTCTGTGTCTGCAGCGGTTGGTCAGTATTAGGATGAATTACTTTGTTCTGTTTGAAGGGTTTGACAGGCGGCGAGGCCAGGCCTGGGAGTTGGAGGGGTTGAACTACCCACCTGAGAGGCTGTCCCACGCCGGCGTCTGACCTCTGCGGGCAGGAGGCTGCTGGGAAATATTGAATGGTGGCTTCTATAATTTATTTTTTGATATTAACCCAGAGCAGGGCATTTGGGACTTCTCAGCCAGCCAGAGAGACAGGAAGCCACCCTGCCCACCTTCTGGGCACAGGGACCTACACAGGATCATCACCCACAGCAGTTTGTCTCCTTCAGTTCCTGGGTGCCAGCAGGGAAATGTCTCAGCAGAGACAGAAGGGAGGGGATGTCTTTCCACCCTTGGCTGATGGGTGAGATCAGATATGGGCTTCCCGTGGTCCCTGAGGCTGGGAGCCCCACCGGCATCTTGGCCCCTGTGCCCACAGGGGCTGCACTTCTTTCTCTTGCCTCTGGGCATGCCAGAATGCAAGAGGTGGGCTTGTTGCTGGACAGAGGTGACACTGATGCAAACGAGGACCTACTAAGAGGGGCCCCTGAGGGCAAGGGCGTCATGCACTGGTTTACTTTAAACTGTACAGACCTTCTCAATTCGTGATAGATTTTTTTTATTATTATTAAAAGTCGATTTATAATACAAATACCCTGATCTGTGGTGGGTTCGTTTGGGGCCAACCCTGGTGGTGTGGGGGTGGTTCCACTGGCCAGAGTTACAAGCAACAGCTTTGAGTATCACATGGAGGATAGTTCTCATCAATACTGTCAGAGTCCTTGATACAGCGACCCCTGCTCAGTGAGCTACCACTCTGAACTCAGTTTTCTTGTCTAAAATGAGGGCAATATATATATTCCCTTGCAGGGAAGAGGTGAGTACTACTACATTGCATGGCAGATGTGTGCCTCAAGTGTGCCAGGAAAATAACTGTCTTTGTATTGTGTTTCACTTTATTTTGGATCCTCAGTTCCCATTTCACTGTGATGGTGGAAAAATGTGACTCTTTTTCCAGGCATTCCTGGCCGCCTTCTGGGAGTCATGCCAGGATTCCCGGTCTCACATGTGCCCAGGGATCAGGGTGGGTCCGGGGAGTGAGTCATCCTCGACCCCAGCTGGCAAGGTCGGTTCCGGTCTGGGATCTGGGATGGGGCTGGAGTGGAGTTCCAAATACGCAACACGTGGCCCCGCTGGTTCCCGGCCAATCAGAATCCACGCTGGTCGCAAACGGGCCAATCAGAACAGACGCCAGCGCAGCCGCTATGCCCGTGCACGGGGACCTGAGGGTCAGGTCCCGGGATGTGAGCCGATTCTCACCAGTCCAGGCCATCTTTATGAAGCTGCGGGTCGGGCTGCCCAGACAGGGAAATCTCATTTCCTGGGCCGAATTGGCCCGCAGACCTGTTTCGCTAGGTAGGCCTGTCCTATGCCTGCCCCTCCCTCCCTCCTCCATCTCGCCCTCTTCCTGCCTTTCCTTCCCTTCTTCCTTTCTTTCCTTACTTCCCCTCACTTTGGAAAACTCTGACCTCTATGAAAGGCTTCTTTGGCCTCTCTCGAAGGCCGTCCACTTTCACAGCCACGCTTGGGACTCTCCTGAGTCCTGCCATTGCAGACCAGAACCCCTTCTCTTTTTTAATCTCCTTTTCTCCCAAACTGCCTGCCCCAGAGCTTACCCTCACCAGGCCAGATTGGGTCCCTCCCAGAGAGAGACCCTTGTGCCTTTCAATTACAGATTTCAGGAGACTCAATACTGCAAAAGACGGGAGTGAATCCTGGTGGGATTTAGGGCTGATTACTTGGATTAACTGAAGCCAGTATTTGGATCCTGGACAAATCACTCTAAGGGGAGGGCTGTCACTTCAATCTATATTTGGCGTCAACAGCGGGGACTTGATGCCTTCCTGCAGGCGGACACTTTTATAGGAAACCGTAGTGTCTGCCTGTTCTGCACCCTGAGGGCCTGCAGCAAGAAAAGCGAATTCTCCTGGAGTGATGGACGGGGCACCTTTGGCTGGGAGCTGAGAAGTGAGGACTCTGCAGCTTCGAACAAGTCACATCCCTTCTCAGACACAGAGTTGCATCAGCAAATGGGGTGAAACCCGGGATTGTTTCTTTCCTTGGGTGGCCTTTGTCTCAGTACAAAGTGGAGCACGACGGGCAGCTCAGAGCAAGGGGGTGTTTCATAAGAGACAGGAGATCTCAAACTGGCCTCCCGAGGGCTGATACTTGGAAATAGATGTGGGCTTTCTGTTTGTTTTCCTAATACAGTGTTTTTTAGAATTTTGAATTAGATACTCATACTTCAGAACCAGTAGATTTCACTTCCAGATTTTGATTTTGGATTTCTCTTGAAAATTCAGCAGCTCTGGTCCCAGTGGCCTTTGTGGGACCATGTGTTCTGACCACGTGTTCCGCATGTCAGCTGGAGCTGAAGAATGGCCACTGCCTTTGGGCAAAGTGCCAGCTTTCCATTCCCCACGCAGTCCAACACACCTGCCCTGCCCGGCTCCAGGATGGTGCTGCCCAGGTGAGCGTGGCCAGCGCTGGCCTCTTGACCATCCATCTTTTCAGCTCTGGAGTTGCCATGGTGATAACTGGCTGAGGGAGGCACTGGTAACCAGGAGTTGCTGTGTGACCAGCGGAGCAACAAGAGGTGGGTGAATCCCTGCAGCCGACGGGTCTCTCAAACCTTTGGTTCCCTGCTCCCTCTGAGACTCATTTTCTTCAAATGACAAATGAAGCTGACTCTATTACAGTCCCTTGATGTGGACTGTATCAGGAGCCACTCAGGAAGCCAAAGGTAGGTTGGAGTGTGTTGGCCGCTTTGTGATTTTATCTAAATTTAACTGTTAATATACTTACCATCCTCCTCCATTGATGAAGCACCTGGGGAACAGGAGTCACATCCACCCTGTCTGTTGTGCCCCAGTGTCTGGCCCAGTGCCGGGCATCAGTGAAACAAGGCTGAATAAAAGAAAGAAGGCTCGTAACTGTCAGAGCCAGGAGCCCACACAACAGCTGTGTGGGGCCAAAGCACGTGCCTCTAACCACTGCTCTGCTCCTGGCTTTGTTCTGGGGCTGGGCTGGATTGTTGAGGACTGGGAGGGCCTGGACTGAGACCTATGAAGTCAGACACCCTCGCCTGTCCCTCGGGACTGGCAGGCTTCTGTACTTTGCTGAGTAGCCATCTCTCGGGGAGTCACCATCTCTCTCAGAACCTCGGTTTCCTTCTCTGAGAAATGGAGACATTTACACCCAAATTTAACTTCCAGGGGATAAATGCAGTGTCCTGTCTGTCCAGCAGGTGGTGCCAGGGACATGCCAGTGCCCAGAGCCTGTGGAGTCCTGCCTTCCTGGCTTTCAATGCTTGTTCCTGGGTACCCACATTTGGGACAGAGGCAGCCTGGAGGCCGGGGCTGGGACTGTTTGGATGGTGGGTACTGGCTCCTGCCCTTCTGAGCCGGGCTTGGCCTAACTTGGTGTGAATATTTTCTCCTTTTCTCTATCAAACGTCTTTTTCTTTATTTCTTTTTCTTGATTATTTTGGTCTCTTTTGCCTTCATTTTCTTTCCTTCCTAGGTTTTCTTTTTTTTTTTTTTTTTTTTGTCCCGTAATATACATTTTATATAGGCTCTATTTTTATACTCTTTTCCTCTCGTGTGCTTTTCTTTCTGTCCCTTCTTTCTTCCCTTGCAATTGGATGTATGAGAAGGATGTGAGGAACCTTTGTAAACTGTAAAGCGAGGCTCTCATGAAAGCTGTGACCAGGAACCCACAATTACTAACGTTCTCCTGGCCCGGGAGCCTTGACCCGCATGGAAGTGCTGACCACCAGGTGGCGCTGTGGGCTAGGCTGTCCTGGCCGAGCCTCTGAGAGCAAAGTGGGTGGGGGCTCCCCCTGTAAAGTCTCTGGAGTTTAAGGGCTTTGATGGGGGAGGTGAGCCAAAAGCTGCCCCTCTTTGGGCACTAGTAACGTCCCTTGGAGGATTAGGGGTGGTCAGGAGAGGGTTGCAGGGCCCAAGTTGAGTCCTTTTCTTTGCTGTGTGGCCTTGGGCAGGTCCCTGTCAATCTCTGTGCCTCAGTTTTCCCACCTATAATGAGAGGGCATACAACTCAATTCTTCAAAAAGGACCTCTGATCTGGCCAGCCTGGCGTCTCCTAGACTTCTCTGAAGGACCAACAACAACATTCAGAATCTCTGGCATGTGTTGAGTACTTAGTATCTATTTGGCACTTTGTTTAAAGGTATTATTTTGTGTAATCCACTTACCAGCCCTTAGAGGTAGGTACTCCTAAGGCCCCATTTTACAGAGGAGGAAATGGGTTCAGATGGTTAAGTGACTCATGGTCACACAGCACAGAAATACTGGTGGAAGGCTGTAGCGATGTTACATCCCGCAGCAAGCGGGAAACACAGTGGTCACTGGATTTCATGGACACTCTGCCCAGGTGCACCATGGGAGAATCTGGCTTTGATCCTAGAAGCTGGCAGAAATGGGGGAGGGGAAGGGTTGAAGAGGTCACCTTACTCATAAAAGAATGGCTGTCATGGGAAAGCAGAAGCTGCTTTGATGCCTTCTTGCCATGGGTGCTGCCCCAGGGTCTTTGCACATGTTGTTACCATGACCTGGAACACTCTTTCCCCAGATGGCCTCTTGCTTTGCTCTTTTGTTCAAGACTGCTCAAATGTCGTCCTATCCTCCATTCTTTCCTGGTACCCTCTCTCCCCTCACCCTTTTATTTTGATTTTTCTCACCTGGCAGAATCTATCCTGTGTCTGTTTGTTCATTTTCTGTCTCTTGCACTTCAAAGTTGGGGATTTTCATCTGTCTCATTTACTGGTGACCCCAGATCGTCAGAATGTGGTGGGAAGGGCCTTCTAATGACAGAGCAGCCTCCTGAGTCCCAGACAGCCTCCCCTCTGGACACAAAGGCTAAAGATACCAAAGGGGGCTAGTGACTCAAGTGCTGAGAGCCACGCTGGGTGGCCCCACCATGTGTCCCAAGTGATGTGCCTGTCACCAAGGCGGAGGGAGAGGAAACCCACTTGAGGCCTGGCAGAGTGGGAACAGCCACAGGCACTGACAGCAGCTGTGCCTTGAGCACCTACTGTGTGCTTGCTGCCATGCTAGGCATGTTAGCAGAGGGCTTGGTCAGCACTTGTCGGTGCTTAAGAAATACGAGTTGGCTTTAGTGGAATGAATCAATAAACGAGTGACTGTGGCAGGGAGGAGAGCTCTCCCTGCTGATGAGAATTCCAACCACTGAACCTCAACTCACCAGTTCTTATGGTGACTGTGAGAAGACAGTTGTTAGTCTCATTTTACAGATGAGAAAACAGAGGCCAAGAGTGTTAAGTGACCTGCTGGAGGTCACATAGCCTTGGGGATTGAACAAAGAGGACTGACTCCAATGCCCCAGTTGTTTCATCACCACCAGGGCCTCCTGGGTGAGCCTAACAACCAGCAGGGAGTTCCAGCCTCTCCAGTCTTGCCCCCCATGCGCTGCCCCTCTGGGCTGGCCGTCAGCCACCAGGGCCTTCTTTCTGTTCCATGAACTCTCTGACCTTGTTCCTTGTTGTCACCTCAGGAACTTTGCACTTTGTTTTCTCTGCCTGGAACCCTCATCCTGCCTGACTCTTGCATGGCTACCTCCTTCCCATCATTCAGGTCTTGGTTGGAATGTCGTCACCTCCTCCAAGAAGCCTTCCAGAATAAGTGAAAATAGCATCACTTATTGACTCCCTAACACAGCACGCTGTTTCCTTCTGCTGTGGCACAGATCCCAACCTCTATTTAGTTTACTTTTGTATTTGTTAACTCATGTATCATCCGTCTACACCAACCAGACTGTGGGTTCCATGAGGCAGGGGGCCAGCCCTGCCTGGCTCACAGCTGTATCCCTGCTCCTAGCTCAGTGGCTGGTGCGGAGCAGGTGCTCGGTCAGTCCTCGTTGACTAGGGCGGAGTGGATCACTGAAGGAGGGAGGACCCCGAGCGGTATACAGCTGCCCCCTCGTGAGAGGTGTTGGTGGTAGTTGAATCTTATTGTGAAAAGTCGACACTTGAGTCTCCCTCCTGGCTCTGACAGTGCTGGCCCTGACCAGCCTCCCTCTCTGCCCTGTTTCCCTCACTGTCAGTTGACAGCTGAGCTGCCACGCACACCAGGGCCTCAGATCCCTTGCAGGAAACCAGAATGGAGCTGAATGTCGCCGCGAGAATGTTCTTCTGTCGGGCTGGGTCTGAGTCACGGAGGGCTGGGTCTGATTTGCCAGGAGGGCGCAGCTGAGGATGCAAAGCCACGCTGGGCTGAGGACACCCACTGTGTCCAGATCGTCTCCTCACCCCTCATCCCAGCACAGGAGATTTGCAGAAGCCCACACAGCCAGACCTCATTTTATTGCACTTGGCTTTATTGTGCTTCGCAGATACTGCTTTTTTTTTTTTTAACCAGTTGAAGGTTTGTGGTAACCTGGTGTTTTCAGATGATGGTTAGCATTTCTTAGCAACAGAATATTTTTAAATTATGGTATGTACTTTTTTTTAGACATAAGGCTATTAACACACTTAATAGACTACAGTATAGTATAAACATAACTCTTGTATGCACTGGGAAACCAAAATTTATGTGACTCACTTTATTGCAATTTTTGCTTCATTGAGATGGTCTAGAACCAAACCCACAACTTCTCTGAGATCTACCTGTATGTGATTCAACCTATTTGGGCCCACCTCTTACCCTCACTGGCATCATTTAAAAAATATTGATGGAGAGTCTACTGAATACCAGCCCCTGTTTTCTAGGCCCAAAGTTACATCAGTGACAATTTCTTGGAGTTTGTTTTCTGCCGGAAAGAGACATGAAAAAGCCAGTGGACACGGGTGTGTAATGTGTCACATGGCATGAAAGCCAATAAGATAAATCTGGTAGGAGGACAGGGACAGATGTGGGAGACTATTTTATTTATTTTTAATTTTTTTTATTGAAGTACCATCAGTTACAATATGTCAAATTCTGGTGTACAGCACAATGTCCCAGTCATGCATATACATACATAGATTCATTTTCCTGTTTGGAGACTATTCTGATATCCATCAGGGAAAGCCTCTCCCAGGCAGACCCCTGAATGGAGATGTAAGGAGGAGACAGCTGGTTCCAGGCAAAAGAAACAGCAGGTGTAAAGGCCCTGGGTTAGGAAGTCTCCTGGTGAGATGGAGGAGGAGTGAGAAGGCCACTGGAGCAGGAAGGGTGGTGATGAGGAGGATATGACATCAGAGCGGGCAGGGACCAGGGCACAGAGGCGGCTGGTGGTTTTGGAGTTCATGTCCAGAATTGGAAAGGCATTGGTGCATTTTGAACAAAGAACAAGTGGTTTTCTCATATGAAAACAGAGCAATCAAAACTCCCCACCTACCAGGCCTGCCCATTTGAGTGTTTTCAAAAATAAGCTGAGAGTACTCTGCAGAGTGAAACTGGTATTATAACATTTTATTTCTGTAATATGTTGTGCTTCTTCTATTGTGTTTTATGAAATGTGTAGCATTATGATGACATATAATCCTGTTTGTCTGTTCTCTGTGCCGCGTCTCTGATGAGCTTTAAAGCGGGGGTTTCAGGGTTCTCCTGGAGACAAGGTATGTGTCTAGTGGGGGAGTTGCAGCCGCTCAGGCTGGTGGTGGGGGTGGGGAAGAGAAACTCTGGAGCCCTGGGGCTACGACTGTGTGACGCCAGTAGGCTGGGGAAGAGGCGGACCTCATCCCTAATGGTAACGGGAATAATAAGTGACACTGTTCTACACACTTGATGGGTGTTGTCTACGTCTTCCCAGTAACTCCCTGGGCCGTTACCCCGTGATAGGGACCGTCAGAGCCAGGGGTACTAACTCATGTACCTGGACCTCATGCTGCTGAGACCGCAGCCCACACGGGGGTCACCTCCCCACTGCCCTCCCTCGTGCATTCTGTCTGGGGGACCCCAGTTCAGCCCAGGTGGTGAATTGTGGGATCAGAGCTGTCTTCACGGGTGTGTGACCCATGTGATTTCACAGGGATCTGTGCTCAGAAGATTCCGTGATTGGCTTAAGCTCTGCTGCCCCGGACTACAAGTTCTTAATTTTTGAACAAGGGGCTCGGCATTATTATTGTGCACTGGGAACCACGAATTAAGAAGGTGGTCTCGCAGGAGGATACAAGCCAATCGTAGGGTCCCGCCCCTTTGCCTGGGATTGGTGGACGTTTACCCACGTCTGACCAATGAGACGCAAGCGTTGTGCGGTGGGGCTGCTGGGAAAGCCTTTTCTCCCGGAAAGAGGCGGCTCTGAGGAACTGTTCCCCCTGTGCCTGTGCCTTCCTGCTTTGGGTTCTGGCTACTTGGGTACTTCTTTCCACGTCTGCTGCTAACTCCCTAATCTAGATAATCATCTTTTGCCTAGAATATTCCGGTCTCTTCACTGGTCTCCCTGCCCCACACTCCACCCACCCCCCCCCCCGCCTCACCTGCAGCCAGAAGGAGCCTATTAAATCTAAGTCAGGCCATGCCCCTCCTCACTCAGACCCTCCAGGAACTTCCCACCTTACTCTGAGTAGAAGCCCAGGACCCCTTCCCCTATAAGGCCCTGCTTGATCCCTGCCCCACCCCCTCTCCGACCTCCTGCCCTTGTTCTCTGCTCCTCACTCACTCTGTTCCAGCCACCTTGGCCTCACTGTTCCTCAGACTCACCAGACAACTGTCTCAGGGCCTATGCACGAGCTGTTCCCTGTGCTGGGATTGTTCTTCCCCAAGGAATCCTCATGGTTCCCTCCCCTAGTCCTTCAGGTCTCTGTTTGTGAGTCAGGGAGAGCCGGAGTGGGAGCCTGGGCTGGGACCCTGATGACTCAGCGGAGCCCCTTCCAGCCATGGTCCTCCTGCTCCAGGATTCTCATTGAGAGAGGTAAGGAAGTGCCAGGTGTTGGCACCTTCACCAGTGTCATCTCCCATTACTGCGGCTGAAATCCTCTCACGGGGACAGTGGCTGGAATTTGCACCCAGGGTTCCAGCTGGGGTATGAGGGGGTGGGGGTAGTTGGAGGCAGGACCTCGGCTCCTGTCCCCGAATTACTGCAGTGGCATTCAGCTCTTCCACCTTCCTGCCCAGAAGTCCTGAGGGGTCCAATCCATGATTCAGTCCCCTCCTGGGCGAGCCTTACCCAGCCTTTGCCAGCATGTGGGGAGGGCACTGCCCTGTACTGCTGTTTCCCTTCCAGCACTTTTCAGGCCCAGGTTCCTGGTGCAGAACTGTCGCAGCATCCCCACCATGTGACCCCTCCATGTGACCCCTCCCTGCTGCCCTGGGTTTGGCCTCCAGATCTTTCCAGATCCTTGCTGTTACATCGCTCTCTGTCTAATCAAAGGCAATCCATCCTCCCTCTGGCCCAGCTGAGGGACGTGTGCATCACAGTGCACAAGGGCCAGCGGGTAACCGGGAGCTGCCCGCAGTTACCTATCTGTGCTTCGTCAGCGCCCTCCTTGAGCTGTGGGGGTAACAAATGGGGGTGTTTCAGACACCATAACAGGAGGGGATGTTCCAGGAACAGGAACACTACAGGCCGCAGGCTGAAGGAGGGCCAGCCCTGTGGGGGCCACACAGATGTGCCACACTCCTTCCTGGCTTTTGGCCCAAACAGCTCTTAAGAAAGGAACATGGGGATGACCCTGGCAGGTGGGACTTGTTTCCATGGTGTGTGGCTGACATCGGAGGGTGATAGAGCTACAGGCTGCTGGGGACCAGCCCGTCAGGAGAGGGGAGGAAGCTCGGGTGCAGGTGACAGGGCTGCCTCTCCATCCATCGTGCCACCTGCTGTCAGGGAGCTGGCGGGAGTCCTGACTGCTGTCGCCTACTGGGGCATGGGAAGGGCTGCCAAGCCTGTGTCCTAGCAGTGGCCAAGCCAGACCAGGGTCCTGTTTGCAGAGCCTCAGCTGTAAAAAAGGGGCCGGAACCACCTGCCTCCCTCACCCATGAACCTCTCCTCTGTTCCAGTTGAGTCCAACTCAGTATCTGACCCTGTCTAATGGTGGAGGCCCAGAATGTCTGACCCTGCCTGATGGGCACTAAAGGAAATTAAGACTCCCTCCTCCCGATTAATAGAGGAACAGCATCCCTGTATCCGTCTGGGACTGAGAGTCAATGTGCTGTGCAGTGTTAATTGAACACCTACTATGTGCTGGATACTGTTCATGTGTGCACGTCAATTCCCTGATTCCTCCCAGCAGCCCTGCGAGGAGCACTGTGATGACCACCCTCCCGTTGTTGTGGAGATGGCGGAGGGGATGGAGGGGTTCACTCAGGGTTACAAGGTCAGGAGCATTAGAGCAGGGAGTTTGGGCACATGGCGTCTGATACCAGGTTCTCGCTCCCAGTCTCCAGGCTGGCCCACCGTTCCTGGAGTGAGAGACGCTGTTGCTGAGCCCAGGGCCTGTCAGAGATCGGAGCCCCAGGATGATTCCCTCTGGGGAAGGGGCGCTCCTGGTATAGAAAAAATGAAGACATGGCAGAACAGGGTTGTGAAGACCACGGGCTGAAGAAATGAAGCTTCCGTGATGCTGTTCACAGAATGAGAACTACATTGATTAAAAGCAACCACACTAATTCCAGGTGTGCTCAGGTAGGAGGGCGGGGTGGAGGGACAGGTGGAGACGTGGGCTGGGGTTGCTCATGCATTGATTTAGTGCATGAGCTTTGTGGCTGGACTTCCTGGGTTCAAATTCCTGGGTGAGTGACTTGACTTTTGGTGCCTCAGTCTCCCCATCTGTAGCACGGGCTCACAGCAGCGTGTTCCTCACGGGACGGGTGTGGGGCTTAGTCGTGTGAGCACAGGTAAGGCCTGTGATCAGCACCAGGTCACAGGAACTGCCCAGGAAGCTGTCATGGTTATTTCACTGCACGGCCTGCACTTTCTCTTCAACTCAAGACACAGCCTCATTTGGAGGCAACTCCAAAAGTCTAAGATTCAGGCCTTTTGTGAAGGTGAAGTCCAGGCCTGGGATAAGCTCAGGCCATGGGGGCAGATTGCATCCATTTATTTTACAAAGAGATGTGTTTATCTGCACTTTCCACCTGAATACTCCAGGGAAACGTTTGTGCGACGCTGCTCCCAAAATAACCGGTGAATTCATTTGAAGAGCTAATTAGGCAGAATCAATGAGATTTACTCAAAAGAGAGGTCCGGTCCAGACGAAGAGGCATGGAGGGGAGAGGATGAACACCACTGGGCTGAATGCAAAGTGGGTGAAGGGTTGTGCTGACCACACAGCCCTCTGCCCATGGGTGTCCCCTCCCTCCAACCACCAGGACCTGTAGGATTCAAGCCTGTGCCACCTCTGACACTAGCATTCCTGGCGGGCACCCTCAGGGTTGGATCTGGTAGAGGGCATAGAACACACAGCACCTGGGCACCTGCACCCCACGTCCTGCCCCAGCCCTCACATCACCTCCAGTGCCCCACAGTGACTTCAGCAAGAACCAGAAATGAGGAGTTGGATGGGCCTTGGTTCAGATCCCGGCTCTGCCACTTACTGGCTGTGTGGTCCTCGGTATATGCATGAGCACTTGCGGCCTTAGTTTCCTCATCTGCGAAATGGGAATAAATCAAAGCACTTCCCCCCCAGGGCTATTGTGAGGCTGGAAGAAGTCACGTTAAAGTGCATAGCTAATCCCTGCCACACCATCACTACTCAGTGCATGCGGGCTGTTACTGTTATTTCCTCCTTTGTAAAATGGAGAAGAAGAATTACTAGGACCATATTTATCCTGTATATTATATACCTTATATGACCGAGCACAGTGCCTGCACCATTTGGAGGGCTTAGTGAATAGGGGTGGTTCTTCTCCTGGGGGATGGATCAGTCTGAACACCCTGGTACATAAGTGGGTGGAGTTATGCTGCATAACAAACAGCCTCCCAAGCTAAGAGGCCTGAACCATAGAGGCTGATTTCTTGCTCAAACTGCAGGTCCCCAGAGGGCTGTGGGGCTGGGAGCTGTGCTCAGAGTCTCCTCCTTGTGACCCAGAGTGAAGAGGCAGCTGCCCTCTCTGATGTCACCACAGCCTTAGCAGGAAGAAGACGAGCTTGGGGAAGGCGGGGTGTCTCGCCCTGGAGGTTAAGTGTCCCAGCCTGTGGGCGACATGTTCACTGTGCCCACAGCTCATTGGCCAGAACGAATCGCATGGCCCATGGCCGCAGGGGACCAGGAGATGCAGCCCTGCGGGTGCCCGAGGGTGGACACCATCAGTGACTTCCGGAGGTTCCCCGGAAGATAGACCTCAGCAACTGCCTGCCAGTACATGGTGAGCGGTAGCCATTGGGGTGGGGATCCGAGTGGAGGTGAAGGGAGGGGTGGCCCCACCTCCTCCTTCATGACTCAGGTTCAGTAACGGATGCCTCAGTGGAGAACAATGTGGCCTGTAGCTAATTCTCCTCCCTCAGATCTCCACTCCTGGGTAATCCCTGTAATAGCAGAAAACTAACCTTGTGAGGAGGTAAAAACAGGATTTGTTTGATTCTGCAGGAATCGTGCTTCTGTCTACATTTCAATTCCCAAAGAGAAAGTTTGTTGCAGAAAGGACTTCTGTCTTAATGACAGCCATAAATAAATAGTAGTCTCACTCACAGATGTTGAGTGTGTGACTCTCACAAGCCTTCCAGGCTCACACAAACCTCCCCATCAGCGCCCCTGGCCCTCAGAGACCCAATTAAACAAACACAGGGTCCGCCCGAGAGCAAACGTGGGACAGGAGCCCCGTGTAGAAGGTGGTTCTTACGACTCCTCACTTAGGAGAGTGAACTCTCGTCTCCACTCTGCACGCTGGGGACGCCAGCTTAGGTGCTAGAATTAGTGCAGAGACAGTTCAGCCTGACTGATTGCCCGGGTGCTCCTGCCTGGGCCGGGCAGGGCTCCCACATTTCAGGCCCCCCCATAGAGGTGGAGATGAGGGGGGTTCATCCTGGCCTCTTGCGTCATCCTCTGTATTTGGCTTCCCCTCCACCTGTCGTCACCCATTCCTCATGCCAGGCTCTCTGGGCACAAGGGGCCATTCTCAGGGGCCCACCTTGATGTGGGAGAGGGGCCTGTTCCATTAGGTAGGTCTTAGCGCCTCCACCTGGGGCCTCCGTGACCACTTTGTCGGAGGAAGCCCCTGCCTCCTGTGGAGTCTCTTCCTGTTCTGTCACCCTGTAGTCTTTTCTTCATGGGCTTTATCAAATCTGTGATCCTACTCATGTGATTATTGATCATCTCCCCCATGAAAGCCAGCTCCATGGGGTCAGGACTACGGCTAGTCCAAGGCTGGGGCTCCAGGACGTCGCACAGTATAGAACATAGAGTATACTTAATACGTTTTCACTAAGTGAGGGAGTGTAGGAATCAATGGATGGATGGATGGATGAAAACTTCCCCTGGGACTGTAAGTAGGTGCAGCTCAAAACTCACCTGTGTCATGTCCTGTCTCTGTCCAAGCTTGCCACGTCTGAGAACTAACGAAGAACTCATTGGTGCTAATAAATATGTATTAGTTCTTTTAATATGAGATGTGCATATTTTAATGAGGAATGTCTAAAGACTCAGGTTTTTCATCTGGGGAAGTGACCCCAATAATGAGAATGCAAAGTGATGGTGATGAGGAGATGTGGGTATTTAGGGCACGGAGGGCTGGAAGGATGTGTCACATCACAGAATTGAGAAGGCCTCCTGGGTGCGGTGTAGGGTGGCGGGGGTGGGGTGCTCCGTAGTGGAACCCAGCACAGGACCAGAGTGAGATCCCAGCTCAGCCTCTGCCCAAATATCTGACTTCCTTGGCCTCAGCGTTCCTATCTGTAAATGGGGATCGTAACCCACCCCTGACAGGGGTATCAGGAAAGGAATTCTGTCCTTTGTGAATCAGTCTCTGCTCACCAGATAGAAGAGGTTATGGTAATGAGCAGGAGTGGCTCTACCTGTCACAGATGGAATATTTTTGGTTTCAAGAAACAGAAAACTCTCTGCTCTTTTTGATGATGGCCTTGTTGACAGGTGTGAGATGATGTCTCATTGTGATTTTGATTTGCATTTCCCTGATATTAGTGATGTTGAGCAGCTTTTTATGTTCCTGTTGGCTATCTGCATTTCCTGTTGTGGAAAAATGTCTGTTCCATTCTTCTGCCCGTATTTTAAATGGACTAGTTGGTTGGTTGGTTGCTTTTTAACTGAAGTACAGTTGATTTAAAATGTTGCCTTAGTTTCTGGTGTACAGCACGGATAGACTTGGAGGGCATTGTGCTAAGTGAAATAAGTCAGAGAGAGACAAATACTGTAAGATATTCACTTACATGTGGAGTCTAAAAAAAATACAACAAACTGGTGCATATAACAGAAAAGCAACAGACTCACAGATGTAGAGAAGGAACTAGCGGTGACCAGTGGGGAAAGGGAAGGGGGAGGGGGAGGGGCAAGATGGAGGTAGAGGATGAGGAGATACAAACTTCAGGTATAAGATAAGCTACAAGGACATATTTTACAACATGGGGAACATGGCCAATACTTTACAATAACTATAAATGGACTATAACCTTTAAAAATTGTGAATCACTTTTTGTATAGCTGTAACATATAATATTGTACATCAACTACACTTCAATTTTTATAGTATGATACTGTAAAATAAATACATTAATAAATTTTAAAAGTAAAAAATTAATAATTCCTTAACATTATTAAATATTGGGTCAGTACTCAAAAGAAAAAAAAGAAACAGAAAACTCTCAAACAAGTAGCTAAATGATAACGGCTATTTATCTATTACTTTATAAGCCAAGGAGTCCAGGGGGTACTCAGGGCAGCTCTGGATTTGGCTAGTTCAGGGGCGGTGTCTCAAGGACCCAGGTTATTTCCAGCTTCCGGCTGTGCTGTCTTCCTTTCTTTGGCTAGATTCTCAGGCTTCCCCACCCCCGCCGCTCACCTAACCCCGATCGTTGTAGGAAGGTCCCACGTCTCCAGGTGTCACAGCCTCATGCAACAGCGCCCAGAAGCAGAAAGAGAAGACAAAGGTGCTTCTTCTTATTGCTTCTTTATAAGACTCAAAACGTTTCCCAGGAGCCTCCCCCCTACTCCCTGGCAGATCTTTTCTCGTGTTACTTCAGTGAAAATTGCACCCTGGGCTTATTTCTAGACCAGCTGTTGGCAGAAGAAATGGACTGATCATGACTGGCTGGTGGTTTTCCACCAGGGGCACACCCCCCCACGACATGTTGGAAATGGGGCTGTTCTGGCTTGTCTGAGTGACCGGTGACATTGCTGGCATTCTGGAGGGCAGGCTCAGAATGCTGGGTGTCCTACAGTGTGGGGGACAGTCTACACAGAACAGACTGGCGGTTCACATGTGTCAAGAGCCATCTTTATCATCTTGGCCTAGAACCCCTGTCAACTTTATAGCCAAACAAAATACTTCTACGAGATTTTAATGCATGCTGAATATGCTGTTTATATTCAAGTATCTTTTTCATTTTCCACCCCTGTTGTGGGGTGACTCCTGATCTTAGTTCTCTCACATCCAGATGTTGGCCAGGATCTAACTATTCATTATGTCTTTTCGTGTGTCTGCGCCTGCTCATTTGCATACTGAAATATGATTTGTTTTATTACAAATTATTTTCCTTTTATTTCTCCTTTATAACCCACTTAGAGCATTATAATGGGTTTTTAAGTACCTGCGATGCGGCAGGTTAATTATTTATGACTTTCATTTCGGGGCAGTAGAAAAGTCATCAAGTACATTTCTTCTTTGGAAAGGTCACTGGGTCTGATGAGATTGAGAACCACTGGCTTGACTCCATCAAGATTCACATCCTGGAGCTGGGAGGGGAGTCTGTGTTCTGAAATACGCGGCTTCCTGCCACATCAGAGTGGAGCTGAGGTTGTAGCCAGGAGTGGCTGTTTGCTTGGCACCCATGATGGCAAACATATGGCCCAGGCACAGCTCTGTGGCTGCCACTGAGTCACAGACGATGTCTAGGAGGGAGCTCCATGGAGGGGCCTCAGGGTGCTCAGGAGGCCACAGAGGCAGGGCTGGGTTTGCTTTTGGCCCTGAGACCTGGCAATAGAAACCTTGCCCCACCCCCGCCCCGGTTGGCCTGCAGCTCTTGGTCATAGAACTGCGTCAGTTTACACCTGGGAGAGAACTTGCTGGTGGAAATGAAAGATTGGTTTGTCTCTGAGCACAACCCTGAGGGCAGGAAAGGTGACACCAATACCCAGCAGAGATGAATGATTCTGGAAAAGGCCTCTGGAGGCTGTCCTCTCGCATGCATTTGCTCAGCCCACCAGCTTACGTTCACTGAGGCTCTGTTAGGTACCAGGAACTGTGTTCTCGGATATGAAGGTTTGGGAGGCATCGACCCAAGCCTGCCCTTAGGAGCTTCCCATCAGCAAGAGGGAGGACTTCTGAGAAGATGGATAGTTGGGGGTTCTGTTTAAATGAGATTTAACTTAGAGGAAAAGGCTAAGTTTTGATGGTTGCTTTATGACAGATTAAAAATAAAATAGAATATCAAATGCTTGACTCCCTTAAAATGTTACTGACATCCAAAAAGTATTTCTTGTGCACCTACTGAGTGCCTGCCCTTGTAGTGAGCACAAACATTGAGAAAAAGGAACAGGGCCCAGGTAGAAGCAGGTAGAAGTAAGCAGAAGCAGCCTTCTTCCCAGGTCTTCCTACCAGGTTGTTACAAGTTGTCCTTGCAAGGACCTGCCTGCTCCCCTTGGGCCCCACCCTAACCACACTTGCTGCTGCTAAACTAGGGTCAGATGTCAGCATGTTCCAGGTGCTCAAGCACAAAACCTTGCCTGCGAGGAAACAGCTTAGGCGCCAAAGTGATTGTAAGATCTGGCTGTTTACATTGGCAGACACCTGGGGAGTATGTCTAGGAATTGATTATGAGACTGTTAGACTGAAGGGGACAGCATATCACATTGGATCAAGGGAAAATTTTGATACGGGTACACTTAGCAGGCGTTCTGAATTTAGTGGTTAGCTCACGAAGCTGGAAGTGGCTCTGCTTATTTTATTGGTGACAAACCTTGGTCTCAATGGTGGCCCTCACTTAATGAGGTTGGGATGACAGAATGTGCCTTGTGTCATATAAAGGAAGGAATGCAAAGACTTAGGGATACAGGGATGCTGGAGTGGTTTTATCATGAATGGCATGCACAGCCACTCCCACTGCCCACTGCATGCCCCCACCGTGTCTGGCGGACTCATCGTTCGCTAAGGCATTAAGGAATCCAACAGTGATGGGGCACCTTGAAAGTCTCCGTGTGGCTGTTCTCAGTAGGCTGGTGTAATGGAGATGCCAGAGGGAGGAAGCAAAGGGGAGAGGTCGGTAGGGATGAGGACAAATGACGGCATTTATCCCCCAAACACGAGATGGGCACACTTGCCATATTCTCCAGAAGTGCTGATCAGAATGTCCCAGGAAATCTATTCTTGGCTTATTCATCACGGTGTCCTTAGAAATGAAATAGATGGGGAGTGAACCAAAATATTATTTGGACTATGTAAGAGAAAAAGATATGGTGGCCAGAGACCACTACAATGGAGTCATGAACTCCTGTCTAATATTTTTTTTGAGAGATCAGGTAATAAATTGAATTTTGACCCAAATTCAAATCACAGTGGACCCAGTAGTCCTGCAGAGCCTCCCTATGCCATTTCCCAAGCTTCTTGGCCACTAGAAAGACTCATGGAGTAAAGTCCACTATGGTAATAATACCCAAGCGAAACCCTTTGGTAATTTCCTTCCTAACCAGCGTAGCATTTTGGGGTGAGTTGCAGAGATTAGTGCCAGCCTCAAAGACTTGGAAGGTGCAGGGCTGGGGAACCCAATCACGCCTCCATGTCATCTGCCTGCTTGGCCTGTGCAGAGGCAGGTGGTCCTTGGAGAGGGACTGTGGATCACTGTAACCCCGACCAGGTGGTGACCCGGTTGCCGCTGCCGTCTTATCTTCATTTGAGTGGATCAGCAGACCCCCTGACCTATGCAGCTGTTGACCTGGCAGATGCTTTAATTTTTCTAGATCAATTTTCAAGGACTGTAAGAAGCAGTTGGCGTTTATCACTCAGAGCCAACAGTGCACATTCAGTCTCGCCTCCAATTTATCGCCAGCTTTCCTGCTTTTTGTCACAATATCATCTTCAGAGATTCTTGATCATCTTTTCATTGTGCCAAACATCATGCTGCTGCACTACGTTGTTGGCATTCTGCTGTTTGGACCCAGTGAGCAACAGAACCCGGCACCCCCATGGCTGGCAGCTGCTGGAGACCGGATCTGCATGGATTTATGGCTCTGATTGGCTCTGATGACCTTGGCCAGCGTGTGTGAGGGCTGTTCTTACCCACGCTCACTGTCAGTCTTGGGTCTGATGTGTTGTCTGGCTAATGTTGCAGTCCCTGTCTGTTGCAGGCCCAGAGCACTCACTTCCCCGACCTTATCACTGTCTGAGCTTCCCCTGCCAGCAAGCCTCTTCCCTGCAGTGTCTTCTCCAAGCATCCTGAGGTCAGGGGCCTTGTCCCTCTTGGTCTCTGCTGCTTCCCCAGAACATAGACCAGCGCCTGGCACAGAGAAGGTGCCCAACAAAGATTCCATTCAGAGCTGCATTTAACCCTCAACCACCTCTTTTGGTGTGTTGCGTTATCCCCAATGCCAGGTGAGGAAACTGGGGCTAAGTAACCTGCCTGATGTCACAAAGCAATTGGGCCCAGTGAAGCACAGCTGGGCTTCAAAGCCAGCTCTCATACTGTGCTCTTGCTGCAACCCTGAGCATCCCCCTTTTCCTGTCTTATCTTCCAGAGGCCTTTCTGAGGCCAGATTGCCTCCAGTTCACGGAGGTCCAGTCCTGCCCCAGACAACACAGGAGTTTGCCCAAGACAGAAGTCCACTGTCCTTTTCATTTTGATAATTGAATGAAGGCCGTACATCCAGCAATATGTGTGTGGTCAGCTGTCCTGTTTTTTCCCCTAAGAAGCAGATTTATAGGCATCCACACTCAGGGATGATTATTCCCCAATAGCTTATAGTATCAGGGCTCCTTTATTTCCCCCCAATAAATCTAATTTATATGGACTGGCAGATTAAGCAGTGCATTTCCTGGCGTAGGAAGGCCAGTGAATCATTCACAGTGCTTTCAGAAACTTGAGATAAAGGTTTTGCATAATGCAAATCAGGAAGAGAA